CAATGCTGTCTATTAGCCTATGTATCTAACTAGTGTAATTAATATTGGTTTGAAAATCAACTGGTTTGTCAGTAGTTTGGCGGTTGAAAGGTTTTAATGTACGATGTATATGAGGACGGACAGTTTCTCTAAAGTGAGACTAAACAACCTTGCTGCGATAAAGGTCAAGAACCTCTATCTTAGTAAATCAGACATGGACCGAAATGAAATAAATATGGTTTAAGTCATTGTAGGTAGTTCTAATCACACTGATGTATGTTTATACATGATACTGTGGCTACGGACCACAATAACCTAGTGGTAGCTTTAAATGACGAGGCTTTATTTTCTTGATCTGTTATCTCAAACTCTCCTGAGCAGGTTAGTTGTTCAGCAGAAGTTACCATGGTGATTTATACCAGTAAGTCTGAAAACCCAGCGTTACTTTGATAACCACAAATACCCAGGTTACACTTTTTCTTGTGAACTGTATGACTAATAGTATTTTGTCAGTTACGTCCCTTCGTTGAAGGTCATGTGCTAAGTAAAATCTTCCATATAATCTTTTCCATTGTGCCAACACTCATTTGTCAAAAACTGTCATACATTTTTAATGGATTCATAAACTTTATACACAAAAACTAAAGCAAGTATTCAGTGTTTACATGGTGCATTTCCTTTCTCTTTTTTAAGTAAAATGTTTCCACCCTTGTCCAGCAACCCGACACAAGCATTTTCCAGATACACAGCGTGAATAGTTAAATGTGCACCCTAAGGAGAATGAAATGGCTGCTGCTGCTCATGTGAATAAACGGCTTGGCACAAATCTAGATATCCCCTAGATGGATACCGTCATCTACATAAACATTTAAACACAACAAGGTGACCGAAAAACAGCGGACGAGTTGGAACATCATGCAAAGTGGAATTGTCTTCCCTTCACTGAGTTTGTTATTTTGTTCGAGCATAATCTTATGCTCTGACCATACAGATGCTCTGTTGTCAAACTCATCAAATATGGCACACTGAGTGAGAATGCATGTTTTTTCCTCCTTCACTGAATAACAAACAGAAAGGTAAAGTCATGCTAACAAGATCCTACACCTGCCTCCATGCACAAAGCCTGAACACAGCAGGACATGCTTGTGCAATGAGAAGAAATTGTTGACAGCTACTTTATGTACCTTTTACCTAGCTGCCTACCAAGTGTCCATGTATAATAGCGCTGATGTCAGTTAATGTTCCAACAACCATGAAAATGTGAACATAAAACTACGATGCAATAAATTCCTGAAGTTGAGGCTTTCACCAGAATTTAATACAGTAAACTTAAATAGCACCATTATAAGTTCAGCATCCAAACTTGACCACAAGTGGACTAGAGTGGGAGTCAGTCAAGCCTCAGTGGCAACCCACCATGAGGTTACCCATTTGTGAACTGCAGCCATAAGTTTGGTATTTTGTCAAGCACTATTTTTTTAAAACTGAGAAGTAAGCATATTTGGAGGAGTTGGGGTTTGGGTCTGACTGAGAGCTTGAGGACACTGCAAGTCCACTGACAGCTGCAACCTGCATCCACTGGACAGTGCTAGCAGTCAATTACATATTGACAATCACAGACTTCTCTCAGTTGAGTTGCCCTCTGTGAGTCATTTAGGAGAATAGAGGTTGCATGTATTGGATTCACTTTCCAGACCTGGAGTCTACCTATGTTTTTATTTACAGTCTATGATCAAGCCGCAGCAAATTGCACACACTCATAGATATCAATTCCCTTAAACAGATAATATTTTTGTCTCTCAAGATGGCGAAAAGAATTCCCCCTTGTCCAGATCCCCACCACAATATAAAGGGCTCTTTGTTGGCTTCTTCCACCAAGTTCCGTGGACATTTTTTCAGGAGTTTTTTAGTAATCCAACAAAGAAATAAACGAACCGACATGGTCGAAAACCTTCTTGGCGGAGGTAATGATTGAGGAGAAAATGATGTTTCAAACACTGCACTCCTAGTTGTGGATGCAATTCTATTTGCAAACAGTGATAATGGGATCCACTGCTGATGGTATGTAGGCTTGAAGCATAAACGTGCTGACCTTGGTATTTCCCCTCAGTGCCATTCATCTTCACACCAAAGCAGCATTTCTGCATTTATCTGATATTTTCTGACTCTCTGTCAACCTGTTTGAGTGCTCGCCCTCTGCTTGTTTCTCTTTCCTCCTCCACCACCTCTCTTATCTCACTAACAGTCTCTCTCATCTTCATTTAAGTTGTCTGTGTCATTTAGATTATTAATGCAACAGCACAGACAGCTCTGAGGGTTGAGGGAAGCATGACCAGATCCGGCAGGAATCATCTTACATTAATCGTCTATGCCTCCTTGTCGGTGCCTCACCTCATTTGCTCCCTATCCCCCCCAGAATGCATCAGCAGTTACACTCGTGGGTTGAACAATTAGTCACTTAGCACTTAGGCTATCTGTTATTTAGAAACAGAAAGAAATGAAGAGCGAGAGAGTAAGTCAGATAAACACAATGATCCATTTCCTTCCTTGTAATGTGAGCTGGTAGTGTTGTCTTTTCGCTGCTTGTTCGTAGCCACTGCTATGCTCGGCTTTAAATCCTGTCCTCTATGGCTGGAAATAAATAAATTAAAAAGAACCTCAAACTTGCGACTGACACTTAATCTTGCTGTTTCTTGGGTTTCACTCTTTGATTTAAAGAATTAAATTGCTGAAGGCTGATTGTCTAGACTACTTTCTGCAGAGGCTGGTTCAAGCTGTTGCCATTTATGGATAAGTTTCGCCCCCTCCCTCACCTCATTTCGACCTTTCTTGAAGCTCCCTTGCAAACAAAATTTGAGAGAAAATGCGCAGAAGCCCACACAAATCCCCTCAGGAAAAGACAGCTTTCTCTGTCCCTTCTTTCAGAACTTCACTTTATTTTTGGCAGCATAATTCTGTCTGTTGTTGTACCAAACCCCTCAGTCCATGTTAGACTGGACAACTTCCACATGAGCCCCCAGTTGGTAACTGGAGTCAGAGGATCATTTCTCCCAGCAGAAATCCATCAGCAGATTCTGCTTCATCATTGTTGCCGTGCAGCGTGTTGTCAACAGACGTCAACAACAAACATGAGTATTGTGATAAAACTTTAGATTCTGAACTCTGACACTAACAGGAAATGTACATTTCAAATGAGATCATAATCCAATAATATTGCAGGAAATAATTCCAAAAGATATATGATGGAAAGTGTACGATGAAAGTGTAAAAATGGCAAATGTAGTTTTAACATATGCTCATATGATGTTATTTCATCATTAATTAAGTAACATTTGTACTTTGTACAATTTAGTCTCTGTTCTCTTCAATTCCAGCATAGTGCAGTCCTCGTGTCCCCGCACAGCTCTTCAGTTGCAATGCTTTGCTCTTAGTCTTGCAGCACTCTGGACATTTAAATGTGTTGTTTTACAAAAGTGTGGCACACTGAGCTAAAATGTTTCAGGGTACATACAAAATAGAAGGAAGAAGACGAAGCGGAGGTAATGAGCATTAGATACATATCATTTATGGCTATGGAAAATGAAAAAATGCCGTCAAATAATCAAAAGGAAATCAAGTTACAAAATAGTACAGAATGTATGGTTACCATGACAGTTGTACTGAAAATGCCACTTTTTTAAGTAGTTTTACAGTAACTTGGTGTAAGGATATGAATATGTCTTGTCTAACTGCCAAGTACTTATCAGCCTGAGAGAACATGGGTCTCCAGTGTATCTCAAATAAAGTGAGTCGACACACAGACAACCTAAAGTTCACCCCACTTGACTGCTCCACGTCTCAAAGTACTCAGCCAGACATGTCGTCTGTGGACAAGCTTTCACTTCTAGTCAACCATACACCGTATAGGCCTGTGAGAAATATGTTGAATTGCTTTCAGTTCACAAGAGAAAAACCTAAAGCCTATAGACAGTCAGCTGTACAGCACAATGGCAGGTGTATGAAATGTTAAATCCAATAAAACAACAAATTAATGACAGTTAAGAAAAGACAAGAAAAATGAAAAAAATCACATATAAAATCTGGACTGTTAAATCACAGGTTGATAATACTAATTTAATCTACAGATTGCCTTGAAAAAGTTAAGTAAATATAAATATTGATTAATTATTTATTAAAGCTAATATTTTCTTTATATCTATTTTTAATTTTCACTTTAAATTTAGTTGTATTTTACTTTTGTCAAGTCCTTCCAACTAAAATATGGCGAGTGAAATTTACTGGTCACTCTCAAGATCCTGAGTTTAAATAGAACACGTTGGTCTGATTTACATAAATGTCTTTGAGACTACACTAACTTCAATACTTTTCATCATG